TGTGTGCTGAGAGAGCTGGACCTGAGTAACAATGACCTGCAGGATTCAGGAGTGAAGAAGCTCTCTGATGGACTGAAGAGTCCACACTGTCATCTGGAGATACTGAGGTACATAACATAACTGCTAGCTACCACACATTTCCATAAAAAATACTACCGCAATTGACTTTCGCATTTTGTGAAATGTAAGTTAAACATATGCAGTAATGAAGGAGTGACAGCAAGAAACAATGAGAGTAGATTTGGTTCGTTGGTTATCCTGATTGCAAAATTGGCATCTATTTTACTGCAACTGTCAAAGAAAACTACAGAACAAAAAATAATTCTACAAGCAAAGCGCAAATTAATACAATATAGCAAAGACACTACTAAAATAACCAGTGCTTTTTGTGGGTTTGTAGGTATCAATGTAATCAAATACTGTAAATAATCGTCACTGTATGAATTTATCAATGGTTAAACATTATTGAAGTTACAACAACTTTTCATTCAAGACCAAAGAGTTTCAGGCAAGTGTAACCCCACCGGTCCTACAACCCCCCAACCCACTCCGAGCTAGTGTCGAACTGGCTACCTTCCACATGGGAGTCGGGTGCTCTACCAAGGCTAATGACCAAGGCCTCTAGAGTCTGTCGCTAGAACACCTTTAGAGGTCAGAGGAGTGAGGTTTACCTGCACAGCACTTACTAGCTGGCCTCTGCTACACTAACTCCCCTAAACCTCACTCCCATCCGGGTCACGGCACCAATGTAACCCCGCTGGTCCTACAACCACCCAACCCGCTACGAGCTGGTATAAAACTGGCGACCTTCTGCATGGGAGTCGGGTGCTCAACCAAGGAGGCTAAAGAACAAGGCCTCTAGTGTCTGTCGCTAGAGCACCTTTAGAGGTCAGAGGAGTGTGGTGTACCTGCAAAGCACTTACTAGCTGGCCTCTGCTACACTCGGTTTGGTTGTCTGGGATGAATTTGTGAAATCTGTAATCCTAGGCTAAAATCTGTTTACCCTTTAAAGGATTCTCCACACCTTTCGGCTTAACGATCTAATTTCTACAACCTTTTTTAAGAGTGTCAAGTTGCTTTGCAACTGTATAAACATGAACCATCTTTTTTATATCTGCATTGGGGGTACACTGGAAGGGCATCTGCCCTTGTGGCGAGCCCCTCTTTATTTAAAAGCAAAGTCTATACTCTTTTGTTTTTTAGTTTCTCAAAAGAAAGCTGTTCACAAAATGACTCTTTAAAAACACAGTAACAATGCAGAAATACTTGTTTTTGATTATGAATACATTTCCATTTTACCGGAGTTTACTTTTACTTATGTGACTGAAACTAGATAAAATAACTGCTACCGCAAAACTAATGTGATGTGCACTGTTTGCTCGTCTGTTTTGTAGATTGTCTGGCTGTATGGTGACAGAGGAAGGCTGTGGTTTTCTGTCTTTAGCTCTGACTTCAAACCCCTCACACCTGAGAGAGCTGGATCTGAGCTACAATCATCCAGGAGATTCAGGAGTCAAGCTGCTCTCTGAACAACTGGAGGATCCAAACTACACACTGGACACACTCAAGTATGTCTAGCACATGTGTGTGTGTGTGTGTGTGTGTGTGTTTGTCAGGTTCATTGGTCTGTAGACGTTAATTGTTTAGTTCAAAGAGGAGCTGCAGCATTCTGCTCTACCTGCAAACAAGAGAAAAGCCTGGTTGATACTAACATGTATATATACAATAGTCCAAAGGAAACTCATTTTGGCTGCTTGTATCCGAGATCTTGTCCTTTCAGTCATGACCCAAAGCTCAAGACCATAGGTGAGAGTAGGAATGTAGATTGACCGGTAAATCAAGAGCTTTGCCTTTCGGCTCAGCTCCTTCTTTACCATAATGGACCAGTACATCAACTGCATTACTGCTGCCGCTGCACCAATCCATCTGTCAATCTTACATTCCATCCGCCCATTACTTGTGAACAAAACCCCGAGATACTTAAACTCCATCCTGGGGTAAGGACCTTCCTCCAATCTGGAGATGGCAAACGACCTTTTTCCGGTGGAACACCATGGCCTCGGACTTTGAGGTGCTGATTCTCATCTCAGCTGCGTCACACTCGGCAGCAAACTCTACCTCTAACCATACTCCCAGAGCACCCTCCACAGAATGCCACGAGGGACATGGTTGAATGCCTTCTCCAAGTCCACAAAACACATGTGGACTGGTTGGCCATACTCCCATGAACCCTCGAGCACCCTGGTGAGGGTATAGAGCTGGTCCAGTGTACCACGGCCTGGACAAAAACCACATTGTTCCTCCTGAATCCTAGGTTCAACCATAATATGAATCCTCCTCTCCAGAACCATGGCAAAGAATTTCCCAGGGAGGCTGAGGAGTGTGATTTCCCCCTATAGTTGTAGCACACCCTCCGGTCCCCCTTCTTAAAAATGGGAACCACCACCCCTGTTGCCCAGTCCATAGGTACTGTCCTCGACCTCCATGCGATATTTTAGAGACGTGTCAGTAAAAACAGCCCCACACAGAGTGAATCTCATCCACCACTGCTGATTTGCCACTGTGGAGCTCACAAACTACCTCAATGACCTCAGCTTGAGTAATGGGTGAATTTGCTCCGGGACCCCCAGTCTCTGCTTCCTCAATGAAATGCATGTCAGCAGGGTTAAGGAGATCCTCAAAGTAATTCTTCCACCGGCCGACAACATCCGCAGTTGAGGTCAACAACTCCCCACTTCCACTGTAAACAGTGTTGATGTGGGGCTGCTTTCCCCTCCCGAGGCTCCGGATGGTTTGCCAGAATCTGGACCGATCGATAGTCTTCCTCCATACTCTCCCCAAACTCTTCCCAGGCCCGAGTTTTTGCTTCCGTAACGACCTGGGCTTCAGCACGCTTGGCCTGTTGATACCCATCAGCTGCCTCAGGAGCCCTGCAAGCCAACCAAGTTCTGTAGGACCCCTTCCTCAGCTTGACGGCATCCCTTACTTCCGATGTCCACCACTGGGTTTGTGGATTGCGGATTCGACAAAGACCACAGACCTTACGGCCACAGCTCCTTACATCCACGTCAACAATGGAGTCAGAGATCATGGACCACTCAGTCTCAATGTCTCCAGCCTCCCTCAGGATCTGGTCAAACCCCCTCCAGAGGTGAGAGTTGAAAATCTCTCTGACTTGAGGTTCAGCCAGATGTTTCCAGAGGACCCTAACAATATGTTTGGGCCTGCCATGTCTGTTCAGCTTTCCCCCCCGCCAGCGAATCTAACTCACCACCAGGTGGTGATCAGTTGACAGCTCTGCCCCTCTCTTTACCCAAGTGTCCAAGACATATGGTTGGAGATCAGATGATACAACCACAAAGTCAATCATTGACCACCGTCCTGGGTGTCCTGGTGCCATGTGTACTGATGGACCCCCTTATGCTCGAACATGGTGTTTGTTATGGACAAATTGTGATTTGCACAGAGGTCCAATAACAGAACACCACTCGGATTCAGATCAGGGAGGCTGTTCCTCCCAATCACACCTCTCCAGGTATCACTGTCAACAACTGTAGGCATTGAAGTCCCCCAGTAAAACAATGGAGTCCCCAGTCTGAGCACCTTCCAGCATCTCCTCCCAAGGACTTCAAGAAGGCCGGGTTAACTGCACTGGTGTTTGGCCCGTAGGCACAAACCACTGGGAAAAACTCCAACACATGGTGGCTAAGATGGGGAGCTATAAGCAAGCTTACACCAGCCTGCTACCTCTCACCGTGGGCAACTCCAGAGTAAAAGAAAGTCCAGCCCTTCTTAAGAAGTTGAGTTCCAGAACCCCTGATGTGCGTGGAAGTGATCCCAACTATCTCTAGACATTCCACCTCCCACACAAGCTCGGGCTCCTTCTCCCCAAGTAAGGTGATATTCCATGTCCCAAGAGCCAGTTTCTGTGCACGACAATTGGGATGTCATGGTCCTAACCTTCGACCACCAAATGTTCTACAATGCCACTTACGGGTCCCCCTGCAGGTGGTGGGCCTGCAGAAGGATGGTTCCACGTTGCTCCTTCAGGCTAAGCCCAGCTGGGTTCTGTGAGAAAAAACCCAGTCACCAGGCTGTGGAATCAATCACCCAGCAAACACTCAATCCAAAAATTAATTAATTAAAGAAATATACATAATTAGTAATGTTATTAATTGTATAATTCTGACTGCAGCTGCTGAAAATAAAATGTGTTCAGTGTTTGTTTACTGACTGAATGTGAATCTGTGTGTGTTTACAGTCTGGATCATGGAGGAGAGAAGAGGATTACAGCAGGACCACGCAAATGTAGGACTACACACACACACACACACACACACACACAGATCTTTATTGAGTGTTGTGGTGTTATAAATGTGTCTCTTCTTGTGTTCAGATCCCTGTTTCCTCACACTGGACCCAAACACAGCACACATTGAACTCCGACTGTCTGAAGAGAACACAAAGGTGAAGCGTGTGGGAGAGAAACAGCCGTATCCTGATCATCCAGACAGATTTGATTATTACGCTCAGGTGTTGTGCAGAGAGAGAGTGTGTGGACGCTCCTACTGGGAGGTTGACTGGAGTGGAGATGATGGTGTGGACATATCAGTGTCATATAAGAGCGTTAGGAGGAAGGGACACGGTAAAGAGTGTTGGTTCGGATATAATGATCAGTCCTGGTGTTTGCTCTGCACTCCCTCCAATTTGTCTTTAAAACACAATAACAGAGAGACTCTTCTCCCAGTAGAGCAGATCAGCAGGAGAATAGGAGTGTTTGTGGATCACAGTGCAGGAACTCTGATCTTCTACAACATCACTGGAGACACATTGAGCCTCATCCACTCAGTCCAGACCAGATTCACTGAGCCGCTCTATGCTGGGTTTAGGGTTT